CCCAAGATTGTACCAAAACGATATCATGTAATATCAACAGATTAAATGACATTTTACAGTCACTATCTCAAACGTAAAAAAAAAATATTTTTCAATATTTCAATGAAATATTTCATAAGAGTGAAATTTTCAATTATAAAATATTTCAAATTTACAACCCTACCCATTGCTAAATATTCTCCGTGAATTTGTAATATTATTATTACATCATAACACATTATTTGTGTATTTACGTGTTTACACCTTAGGTTTATGGAACGCAACACCTGACAACATTCTAGAAATCAATAGTTGAAAAGTATTTTTTTTTGTAAAATTATATATGTTTTTTATGATATAAGTAGTAAATGTATATGTATTTTCAAACTAATTAAAATTATTCACGTGATTATGACTAAGTGGAAAATTACATGTTAGTATTTTTATTCGTGTAAGAACTAACGTACCGGTACTTGTTTATTCGTTTCGAGACTTACGTATTATGTAAATGTTTAACTGCTATTTTTCGAGTGGAAACTTACTGAGCCCCGTTTTTGTTTAACTCGCGAATAAACGCGGTGACCCGAGCGATCCGCTGTATATTATTTCCCCGCGCCACTTTGCTTCTTCTCCGTTACCTGTTTTGGTTTTCATTCGTACCATGCGCGATAATTTTAACGAGATCCGCTGTTTCCTACATGTGTGCACACGATTTCGTCCAAACGGGCATCTGTTTTCCAAAAGAATTCGATCGATTCAAATCGAAAATGTCTACATCACGTACACAGGTAACAGTGTGCTCGGATGTGAGGGCGTACTTCCAAAACGTTGGTCGTCGTCTTCGTGTTTGCAGAACAAGATGGGACCGTAGCGCACGGACAAAAGTATCGCTTAACATAAGCAAACCGAATGCGCCCGAAAAAAAAAAACTAACGCGAAACGATAATAGCAAGTGTTACCGTTGTATCAGTAAATGGAGTTATTACATATGGTTAATGCTCGTTTCTCGTTTGAATAATAAAACGAACATCGTTTTCCGAACAGGTACCCGAAAAAAAAACAAACACTAATTTTCAGTCCACGTGCGTTTACTGCAAGTAAAATATTTTGCGAACACGTAAGGAAATGTGCTTTGACCTTAGCGCGCACCCTCAAACCTTAAATATCGTCTGAACGACTTTTTCCCCTAATCCTGACTCGTGTCACGCACCTCTCGTTAATTTTCGTCCAAACCCACGATTAACTTGCTTTAACAATAATTGTTTGATTAGGTATTATTTTTTTCACGAAATGTTATTATAAATATCAGGACATTATAATTAGGTGTATAAAATTACAATAACATAGTGTTAATGTTTTATTAAAACATTAACTCAAAAACACTGGAAAAGTATATTACAATAATAATAAATGTAAGGTTACGTTTGAATATATTATACGAGTAAATTTCATTTTGTTTACGAGTTCCGCTTGGGTATATATTTTAAAGGCCGATAGAGAGGGAGGCGGCAAAATCGTGTTTGTATTGCAAGTTCCTTTCTTGTGTTCGGTTTTCATACGAGTTCTGCTGCAATAGGAGATTGTTGCGATTTGTATATTAATAGCTTACAGGGAAAAAGTTTTCGAGGGGACTTCTAGTTCGATTTAAAAAATCGAATTAACATATACATATCAATAATAAATACATTAGCAGACGATACACCGCAGTATCATAAAAGTGTAATTTTCAAAAAGGTTTTTCAAGTTACTTCGTTGCTCACGGCTTTTAATTTATTCGTTGGCCATGTGAAATTTATTGTTCAAAGGATTATCAGCGGCGACTAAAATGGACGGATGCTCCAGTTGACAAATGTCCCGCAGCAGTTGGTCGCAGCCTAAATCGTAAAAACGTTCACGATTATTTCACAAACGGTAAATAGAACAACGTAACGATTCATTCAACATGTTTGCAAACGAGTTGCTTTTACGATACGCGATTTATCTAGTTCGTAGTTATTGTCGTAATGTAACGGCGGGTGTTGAAGAGCGAAATCGAAGGAAAACGTACTACTGTGAAATATAATTTTTTAAAGATGTGCAAATGTATCGGATGTGACTGCGGGTTACGAACACGAGTGCACCGACCCTTGTGGGTAGTGGTCATAGCGAATGGAACCACACAGACCTGGAGCCCAATTGAGCACGATTACAATCAATCAATTGGAACACGAAAACCCTAAAAAACAACACGATTGAGCGAGAAAATAGATGAGACATTGCCACTTTGTATCGTAAAATATAATTATTAAAAAATAAAATACATTTGAATATAAATATTTATAAATTAAAATTTTTTATTTGTTTTTTTTTCGACCCAATAAATCTATACTTGAAAGCTGCTAACTCTTTGTCTGTCTTGTATAAAATAATTGGTATTTCATTATTTTACATCATAAAATCGTAGAATTTCCAGAATACACATTATTTTTGAAGGCGCAAGAAAACAGAACAGACTGACTGTTTTATATACAGCATAGGTACAATAACAGTTAATCACAATTTAGGGCAATCGTTGTAGCAGGTTTGTTAGATAATGTTTGAGTCGTATAGCCAGTAGAGCACATTCAAGTCGCCCAAAATAGCCATTATCTCAGCTAAGTCAGGTAGCCCAATAAAGCCGATATCAATGTTTAATTTATACAAAGTTTAAAGTTATTTTATTAATTAAATTTGTTATATTATATTATTTAAGTTGTTATAGGTATTACAAAAATATTATGTACTATACATTTTTAATGCACACACTATAATTAGTATAATATTCATGTTCATTAAACACTTATAAATTAAGCACTTCTTTTAATGCACAATTTTGAGCATTGTTGCCATCTGAATTACTGCTAGGTCTTGATCATATATTGAAGAGGTAAACTAGATATATTGTACAACAACACTCTACTCAAAATACAGTAACCAATTTCGTTAACTACGACAAAAACCGTTTTTATGTTCAATACCCGAATTTCGTACTGCCCGACGCATTCGTTTTAACATTTTTTTTTTATTTCTTCAGTAATCCTGTGTACATGCCGATTAATAATTTTGGGCGATATTAAGACCTTTAAGATAGCACATTTGGCGAGAAACCGCCCAATCTGACAACACTGCGTTGTAGATAAAATTCTAGTTTTCTTATCTATCCCATTTATTTTCAACTTCCGTGGGTATCTATCGATCGATAGCAAAATATTTTTCAACTCATATATGAGTTACCTATTATTATTCTATACAACAAACGTGCTAGTGAGAATCTGACAAAGTTGTACATAATATTTAATTTTTTATCGTGCTCAATCGAGTCGTCAAAAAGATCGGCCGATAGGCAACTAATTGGGAATTACCGCCACGCAGAAATGTAATCACTCTGCTACTCGGAATACCATGGTTATAGGTAAAAAACGATTTGTATGTTTTAGATTATAGTTTGGTTGGCAGAGGTAATTGACGAGTCACGAATTGTTATACGAAGTTTTCTTATATATATATAGAACCATACTAGCCAAGTAAACGTAGTAATAATAAGATACCAGGAAAGTACTAAAATTAACACGTATAAAAATGTAAAATATGTATTTACGCGTTTTTAATAATATGTTTTTACGTTCAAGTGACTATTCAATAAACATAAAAAAAATTATGTTGATGGTTTTTTAACGCTTTCGTTCTGACAAATACCCTTTGTCACAACACTCGCAGTATTATAATAACCTTTTGATGTTTTCCTTTGCGTAATATCTTTCTAACATCATAAAACGGATCTTAATATCTTGTCGTGTAGAGATTAGGTTTTATAAAGAGGATCTGCACCAGTGGCGTAGCTAGGATTTTCTGAAGGGGGGTGTTAATTATAATTATTAAATATTATATATAATACGTACGAACTAAAACTTTTATTTTAACTAATTAATATGTATACATAATGTCTGTAATAGAGATGTAATGTATATTCGAATTCGGATAGCTTTACCATAAATTATTCGAATATTTGACTATTCGAATATCAGTATTCGATGCTACAATACTTATTATTATTAAACGTTTTGTGTTGCACGAAAACGTAAACGAGTAATTTTCGTCACGTATTGTCGCAATCGCGATAATGTTAACCTGTATATATGTAATTAGTATTGTGCATTATTTTATATTTCATATTGTATTATCGATTTACCTATATTCCTATAATAATGTAATATATAATACGACTCAAGGGGGGGTGTCATATCTACCAAACACCCCCCTTGTATACGCCACTGATCTGCACGTTTTTAGTGATTCATTAAAATGTATTGAACGCAGAAATTAATCCTTATAATGGAGCTCATATAAAATTTAAGTTAAGTTAGGAGAGTAGTACCTAAGTATAATTTAAGGTAAGTAGTAGAAACAGCTTTAGGTAAGTAGCATCAGTACACTTTTATTTTAATTATGAATAATATTATAAACACTATGTTTTTATTTTAATAAATATTAGTTTACTATAAATTAAGTTGTTATTTCATATGCTTGAGTTATGAATTAAAACCTTCCAACTTTTAAGAACAAAACTAAAATAATATCGCAGTAAAATATGTTATTAAGATATTAGTACCATGAGCAAGACAAAGGTAGTAACACCATTATTATGTGCCATCTCGTTCTAACATGCTCTCTCGGACAACACTGCTTGGTGACCATTCCAGTTATCATATAGAGTTCAATGGTTCCAGCTAACAAAAATGATAAAATATATTTTAAAAACTATTATCGGGGTATAATGTATTAATAACAAATAATTTTAGCGGGTAATGAGAAATTTAAATATATTGTGCATACGTTAAGATTTATTTTTTCGGTTTGTACATTTTAAATATTATTGAAATATTTTTTCTTTAAAAATAATATCTTATATCAATACATTTTTGATAATAATAAGTAATAATAACAAAAGTATTTATATTTCTTAACATATTCATAACTAATAAGAATTCATTTTAAATGAATAGGAATGTTTGGGGGCTTTTGCAACCTCCGCCATCATAATCGAACCATCGTTGACCCAGGAGTTTTTAAACTTAAGTTTGCTTAAATGTGATCATACATTTGAGCCGGCTCCTGTAAGTTTCTGTTCGTAGTTCGTACTTCTTTCACCTTTTGTACTCTTGTTCTGAAATCTGAGATAAGAGTTTGGAAAAGCACGTATTGAGTTGTGGTGAAATCGCACACTACACGCGCACCGAAATATTAATGATAACAACTCCTGCATGCACAGTATCATCACGCTTAAATTCTGTTTTTAGCATAGAGTAATATTATATTACTCTATGGTTTTTAGACGCTCTTGGCGTGTTGCACTGTTGTAGTATCGTTCGGTGGAAGAGATATGCCTCCGTGGGTGACCGGCGAATAGAGTATGCCACTGTTATCGAACGCAAAAAAAAAAAAAAAAATAAATAAAACGCCCAAAAAATAACGACCGTTATTCAGTGTGCTTATAAATTTGATTATGTTCCAGTTTAAACCATCGTATCAGTGTCACAAATTTTCATAAGTCCCTGTATTCTAGTCTTAAGGTGGTGACACTGAGACATTTACCTTCATTGTGTTGTCCGGTGGTCATAGCCTTCGTGGAAATGTCATCGGCACCGACTCGTTCTCTATCGTTTGGTCCGTATTCGTGTGTACTCGCAAAGTTTGTGAACTCATTATCCGTTTACAGCCTTTTTTATAAAAACACGTTTTCGTTCGCTTTTGTGCTGTGCCGGTCTATTGATAAATGTCGTTTTGCTCAGTTTATTACCATTTTGTTTATTATTATATAGTTCCCCTTGTTTCAGTGGCGATTGTGAATAACGTGGTTTATTCATTGTCGTCCAGCACTGTAGACTTACGAAATTTATCGTGAGCAAGTGTTAACATACGAGTTTGTGTGCGAGGTAATTTTTATACTTTTTTGTTGTATTCATTCTTAAGTGATTATGGACCCCGGCGTTCGACGATTTGATTAAATATCTTAAAAAAAAATGTCCAGGTTAATAAATATCTAAATATTTCTGAGATAGACAAATAGATAACATTTGGATTTTTATTTAAATAAAATAATACATACTTATCTATTTTATTTTTTATTTTTTTATCTAGTTAAATCTCAAAACTGTACTCTAAATAATAGTAAAAATTGTTAAACATTGTGCGTCCGAGTTGTCTCGTTCGGGCGCAGTATAACTTGAGTAATGTGTCGAATGTTGAAAATGTTGAAAAAGCTGGTGAAGTGAAGTGGAATGTCTATTTTTTTTTGAAAATTTTTTTTTTTTTTTTGTCACGCCTATTTATTTATTTTTATTATAATATTATTATTACTATTATTATTTATGGATTGGATCAATTACATTAATTAAATTTTAAAACCGACCAATACGTAAGTGACTATGTTGTAGATGGCGGATTTCATCCCGTGCGCCAAGGATGTGAGCAAAACAATGAATTTAATACAATTTAATAATCCCCTGCGTACATGGAACCACTAAACTACAGTCACGAACGAAGATAAAAGTTTGCAGCGTAGGACGAAAACCACATTTAATCACAATTTAAGCTGATAAGTGAACACCATAAAACATGGTTACAAATAAATGCATAGCAATGAAGTTCTGTAGAACAACATTCATCAAACAACAAAATAAAGAAAAACGTGGTTTGAACAAAAAATGGCTGTAGTAATAATAACATACGTGAATGAATTCGAGGTGAACACAATGAGAGAAGACAAAATACGAAAGATTAATTATACATAAATGTTATTAAATTTAATAAATAATTGGTGAGCACCGATGAGACTAACACGAACTGACATTAGTCAGAACCAGTTTAAACAGAGTATTTGATTTGCATGTAATGAAACCATGAATATACTGAATGGATATAATACAACTGTGATCTAAAAAAACATTTGTTTTCCTACTCATTCGCCTGTTAAGATATTACCTTTCGACAATATATTACAGATAGAAAAACAAAAGGGTTACTGTTTATTCGGACGGGACCACACGAGTGCACCCGTCCCGGTGCATTGCTCCCGCGTCCAACGGGTACTCGCACGAAGGATTTATTCGGAAAAATGCAGGTAAAAAAGTCGAAAGCGGCACGACGTCCGGACCGGGAAACGAAAGATCCATCGACGTACGTGTTACGTGAGTGGCGTCCTGCAAAATCGACCGCGCTCTTTTTTCGATCGCGCACGACCATCTCTGCGTTCGGTACAATTTTCCGTGCAAGTGTGCATACGATATCGGTGTACCGACGACGTTTAAATAGTTGGATACGGGTCGATGAAGAAAACGGGCTGCGGTTGAGATCGGTGATGAGTTGGTGTCTCTGGTCGAAGAATGTGATTACACATTTTCGCTCGCGTAGTAAAACATTTAGTGGTTTTGATAGGAAAAAACCAAAAAATACTACTAAATAGTTTGTTAAATATTAAAAACATAAAGTTATTATATTTATTAAGGTTTTTTTTTTATATACCCACACGCGGGCGCATGTGAACTCCACCACAAGTACTTTTTTTTTACTGTATACTCCGCCAGTAAATAAAATCAAATAGTAGTATAAAATTAATATGATATATTATTAAAAAAAATTATAATACAATATAATATCATATCGTTCACATTAAATGTTTTAATCACAGTAAAAAAAAAATCATAATAAATATCGCTATACCTAATATTCCAAAAATATATAGTTATGTCATATATGTAAACTAAAATTATGTGATACGATTTGTTAATGTTTTAAGTCTTGTATTACTCCATTAGTGTACCTATTTATAGCATCCTGTAACACTGTCATTTTTTTTTATTTCGAATTTTTTAGCTTATTTACTTAAGATATGCCATTTAGTTTTATAAAAGTATGGGTTTGAAATTTGGTAAGAACTTTACTAAAAATATGAACATTCGGTTGACTTTTATAAAATTATATTCTTAGATGACTATGAAAGGATTCACGGGCAAAAACACACACAAAAAAAAAAACTGACGGAGCTTACAATTGTCCCCATATGCGTAAAATTTTGATTTCGTGGTAATGACGATGCATTCTTAAAACAACACTTGCTCGGAATTCTATTAACACGATCGTAAAAATAAAAAACTAAAAAAATGTTATGGCTGAAATGTTAACGACGAAGACACGTCGTAGTATGCAAACGGTTACTATGATCAAAAGTACTATTAATATATAATAAGGAGCGATATTTTTAGTTTTCCGTAAACCATCGACTTGACTATCCGAGTTATTTGAGACTTACGGCGATACATTACAACACATATACATACTGATTTAAGACTCTGTGTATTGTTGTTTCCGATCGGCTCGTATCTTTTCGGCTGAGACTTCAAGAAGCACTAGTGCTACACTAGTACACTACTGCTATACATAGCTAGTATACTCGAACGCGAGACGCCATGGATTCACTACCATACACGTCGGTATGGGACTTGGGCTTGCCGGCAACACCAGTGGACATGAGCCCCGAGAACGTAGACTACGGCCTCAGCGACATGGTCAGGGCCAGTTACTTGGCGAAACTGCGTGAAACGTTAATGTCCAACCTGAGAGAAAACATTGCGAGTGACCGCGGCTCGGCTGGAGACGTAATGGTCGGAATGTTCGTGGAAAAGTGTTTGGGCGAGATGGAAAAAGATGCGTTAAGGAAATGCATGGTAGCCGAGATCTACTGCAAAGCGATGCGTAAAACGGTACGTGTATATTTGCTCTGCGGTACCCGGAATTCACCCCTCCGTCCAAACATACAGACTGTGTATTTCGCGATAATGATCCGTGTACGGAGTGGCACTTAAAAAAAAAAAAGGAAAAAAAAACCTCGCACTACTTTCGACTCTTGGTGTCCGCGGGCGCGTTAAGGACCCCACGCGGATGTACTAAAACATCTAATACGACAATATTACGCTAATGATTCACGATCGTAATGCTTTCTATGGGTAAACAGATAGACGAAGTGAACAACTGCACAGGCACGTCAACGATCCACGACCGGCTGATGACGATCATAGCGCAGTCGGACAGTAGGAATCGTGAAACCGGATCGATGATGGAGGTCACTGCTGTCGACGTCGACGAGGGACAGCAAAACTCCTGTGGCGACGCGTACCAATTTCCATTTCTGACGCAGACACAAGTCTTCGGTAACCAGATTATGGGCATTATTATAAATAAATCCTAATGCCTGTTATAGGCAATTCACGATCGTTGACGATTAACTCCCTACCTCGTGGAAAACGAAAAATGTCTTTGCATACATTATTATATTTCGTTAAATAAACGTTTTATTTACGCTTGCAGATCAACAGGGCGAACAAGGCATTATAACACTCGCCATCGAGAATTTCAAGTGCACATCAATGTTTCCGGGATCGATAACGAAAGATATTGTGGACCCGAGCATCGTGCGACCCGAGGTAATTAACATCATTACGAAGGAAAAAGATTTCAGCGCTATGGTGGCTACGACGCACGAGTTCCGCAGGAACATGAAAAGACTACCCCAAGCCATGCGAGCCCGGATAGACCAGGAGCTGAACCAGATGTTTGGTTACTGTCTTGATCCCGGGTATCGACCGATGTTCCTGTCCATGGAGGAGGAACGGATAATTTCCTACGATAGGATCATGCGATTGGTCTCGGACCGCATGAAACCATACTTTGAGCTCGGGCGAATCACCAAGTCCTCCGACTTTGAGATCCTCGTCCAACTCATATCAAGGACCATGATGGATAGCGCTAGCGACCCGAGTACGATACTTTATTATTTTATTGTTACGTGCCAAAAGTGATTTGATGTTTTTCAGTATGTTCAAAAACATTTATAAAACTATTAATCGTCGTCGTCGTTACACTGTTTAAAAAGTTGTCATCATTATATCGACTGCTCGGTTTTATTTTATTTTACTATTTCTCTTATAGTTCATAGCCTAACCACGAGTGCAAGTCTCAATCTATTGAACACGACTGCATTTGGTACGTTCTTACACGAAATATAGCAGGTTACATATGTAAGTGCTATATTTCGTGCAGGAAATCGCAGTTACCAAAAATGACACCCACTCTCTTATGTCTTCGGGTATTCCGTGTAAAATAATACAATGTCAAGCTATCCTTCATATACTGTTCATATACCGTTGCCGGTCGTTTTATATCTGCTTCTCTGCGCGTTTTTCTACCAACGATTTTTATCTCAATAGTTAAATAATTGTTTATAAACAAACAATGTACACTTACGTATTACTAAATTGCTGTTTTTTTGATTTTTTAGCTGAAAGCACGATAAACCAAACCATAGATGATTTTTTCTCCGGGCACCCGTACAAATCCGTCGATCAGTTCATA